GGACTTCTCACCTACATCAAGTGCCACATCTATAAGCAGTATCAGTTCTATGCATGTTTATTTTAAAATGTATTTACAATTTGTTTTATAAATCTATTTATTAATTTATAGATAACTGTATAACACAATAAAAAAAACAATTTCTAAATAACGCATTTTATATATTTTTTTTTAAATTTGACAGGTCAATAAAATAAGAATTATTTGATGAAGATCAGGATAATCCAAGGCAAACAGAATGAATGTTGTGTAATTTTGTGTTACGCTGTCTGTGTATTTTTTGGTCAAACCGCTTACACGGCTATATCTAGGCAACCACTTAGACACTGGCCGTAAACTTCTTGTTAATAAACAATTGCAGTTGCATAAAAGAACATTTCTCTCGAATGAAACACGTGAAACGAGGTTCGCGTTTTGACCCTAATAACCGTCGGGGGGACGATACCGCTGTTAAGATAAGATTTTAACTTATTACTCCTATGTATACTACTAGTATTTACATTATCGTAATAAAACGGAGTGCGCGTTGAATTTATTTTTCGATGCCGGGGAAACTTTTTTTTTTTTCGAAAACAACTTATTGTTGTAATTAATACGAATATAATATAATATACATTCAACATAGTTGTTAATGGTATCAGATGCAGCCACAGCGATCTCGAAAAGAGCCGATAAGGCACGGCGGCGATTCGACTGTGGGGGAATATTTTTAATGTTTGTTTGTCGCGATTGCGAATGCCACCACTGCACCGTGTAAATTCGTGTTAAGCACGGCGACGGTTATCAAAAGGACTGTTCATAAAAAATGAAAATAAAGAGTTTCGGGGCCCCACACGCATTTTTGCGGGCTGCCGACCTGCATATTTTATAATCCGACGGGAGGCTTTTTTTTTTTTTTTTTATCTTAATGGGCTTCCACCCGTATTTATTTTTTACGGATTAAAAGCTTTTTTTTTTTTTTTTTATTATTATTATTTAATCGGGGTTTACCGATCCCTCGCATCGCGCGCTGCGGTGCGTTTATTCGCACTGCGAATACTTGTCACGGTTCGTCGTATACTTCGTTCAAAACGTTGCCCTCGCATCCTAATTCCGTTCCAATTACCGTCTTTTTACTTTCATTATTATTATTATTATTATTTTCCTTTCGTATTTTTGATCCTCCGACTCGGGATTTTTCCGGATGGCACGGCGACGTCGGCGAATACGTCCCGGGGGACCCGTCCGAAACGCCTAAGTACCGCAACGTCGATGAAACGGAGACGGTGTATGGTGAGGGGGGGGGAGAAATAAGAAAAAAATATATTGCTGCGGTATGCGGCGAAACACGGGGGAATCGGTGAATATTTATAAGGTTTTTTCGTTGATCTTTGATTTAGCAGAATTGTTCATAAGGATTATAATCCCCGCGTATTCCGTTTCGGTTTGGACGCGAGGAAGGTATTATAAAATAATGTACAATGTTCATATTTAATGTTCTCTGTTCGCGTACTAAATTCCTCGACAACGAGCCGTCAATCAATCAGTTCATTAATACTGCAGTATTCAATATCCGTTGGCATAATTTAACAATAATATGATATTGGGCTAAATCGATACATACATTGCTAAAACTACTTTTATTATTATTATTATTATTTTTTTTTTTTTTTTCATGATTGACGTACGACCATGCGTCAAACAGATATGATTTAGTATTCAGAGAGTTTGCCGTTTTGCAAACGTCAACTCGACATCAAAAAAAAAAAAATAAAATAAAATAAATAGAGCACGGTGGACCGGATTTTGAATTATATTGTATTCTCGGATCGTCGTCGTTCTTACGGTCATCGCTAGTTTGGATCTGGTTGCTTTCGAAAAGAATAGGTTTTTTGAATTTGCAAGTAGTTTTCATAATGATTAGGAAAATCCAAAAAAAAAAAAAGAAGAAAAAAACGGACATACTTCGTTCACGGGTGGGCCACTGTTGTAAATGAGAAATCGGGAAGGTAGCAGAGGAGAAATTTAATTGTATACCAGTAGTCAACGATAAATCACGGCCGGCGAAAAAAACTTCTGAGCGAAGTTCAGTTGATAGTGATGTTTTGTCAAAAATATGTGTTATTTTATAGTTTTTATTTTTTTGCACAGGCATAATATATTTTCTTTGATAATATTTGCTTAATATTGTACCTATTTTTCCGTTTTTCTAACGTTTTACCCATTAATTGAGAAAACTCTTAAGAAAAACGAAAAAATGACCTCCTTAATGTACCTCCCCAGTCCGATTTCCTTTCAAAATAGGCGCACTTAAAAATCGGAGCAAGATTTCCGGTATGACCCCGTCATCCGCAAAGTGAAAATTGATTTTGGCCGGTTATGCTTGCGTTACAAATTTCAAATTCGCGGTTACAAATCACGACGAATCGGTTACTAATTTGTGAAACCATTTTTGTTTCAAATTGTTTTGTTTACTTTGTTGTGTCGGTGGTTAGTGACCCTGAAGTACATCAGTCATTTTGAATGCATCCAGAGAAACGATAAATAAAAAAAAAAACGTTTTTCGGATTTATCTCACTGTCGCGCCGAAATATTGATATTTATAAATGTAATCATAATTATAAATTCAAATAACGCCTAAATACGTATAAACACATGACGCGGTTTGTCTTTAAATTACGCCGTCGAAATGTGACGTTATCCGATAATGAGATTATCGCGCGGGTTTTCGCCGTTTCGTCGAACATTCGTCAAAAACGTACGGGACGTTTCCCCGCCGATTTCGACGTCGCGCATTCCGTACCCGTATCGAAGCGCAGCGCGCGTGCTTACTGTCCGCGAATAATGTCGGCATTGTTATTTATTTTATTTTTGTTTTTTTATGTTTTTTTTCCGTATTATTATTATACCGGGCCCGTCGTCACCGTCTCCGCCGTGTGCCCGCGCCGAGCCGCTGCGTGTCGCCGACCGCACACGCACCACACGAGTGCCGTACACGCCCGCCGCGGTCCCCCCGTTGCGGCGGCCACTTGCCGATGCGTGCGCGTACGCCACTTACTGCGCGCCCGCTATAGCGCAACAATTGAAAACCGCGCTCGGCCGGACTCTCGAACGTGGAACGGAACGATTTTAACAATGCGGCACACGGTCGTTACACGCCGTATCGAAACTCGCCGCGTTCGCCGAAATTCGCATTGTGTTCGGTCGCACTCGTGCCCGGCGCTCGTTGCGATCGATATCCGCGCGCGCGCGTGCCGTCCGCGCGTTCGAAAATACGCGCGCTTTTGTGATATTCCGGATTCGGCACCGTTGTTATCCGGCGCCGCCGCACGGTCCGCCGCGATTCCCGTGTCTCGTCATTTCGGGAAAACCGCGACGAAGCGGCGGCCGGGGGAATCAGCTCGACGAATTCGGCCACGAGGAATTGCCGCGCGCGCATCTCGAACCGCGAATACCGAACATTACCAAGCAACGGCTTATCGGAACGTTTATCACGGTTATCCGGTGCGATTAGTTTCCCGCAAACGAACGCGAATCCGGAGTCGCGCTTGAATTCCGTACGGGGCCGATGCCCACGGGTTTCGCGGCCGACGCCTGCCGCCGGCCGTCGCGGTGCCGGAGCGACGACGGCGAGCCGCCGCCGGCCCCGGGCTTTTGAGGCCCGTGCCTTTCTCGCGACCGGGACGGGTTCCCGTTCGCCCACCGGGTGCGGTGGATTGGCAGCTTTACGCTGTTCACGCGCCTGTCCCCCCACGGCCACCGCGTTTCAGCCGAGTTGGGCCGCTCGGCCAGGCCGGTCCGGCGTGAAGCGGCCCCCCCACCCCCGTACCGCGGTACCGACTATGTTTTCGGTCGACGCCGGCGGGTCGACCGGAGACCGCGTCCGTCCCACTGTTTCGGCTCCCCGGCCGGCTAGCGGCGGGCCCATACGTATGGGGCTGGGCGAAACGAACGGGGACGTACGGCCCCGCGACGCAATTACACATCACTCTGGTCACTCGTTCACTCGCCCGTCGTGTTTGCATTTCGCGTTACCCGTCCGTCGTCGGGCGTTGCGCATTATTACACGTCGTTACGTCACGCGACGCGTTACCGTTGTTTAGATTGTACCGGCCGCGCTTTTGATTTTTACGGCGGCGCGCACATCATCGTTTACAACGCCGGGATTGTTCTGCGGTCGCGTGTAACCGGAAACGAAAGCGCAAACCCTTTTCTTTCCCCCCCCCCCGTTCTTCTCCCCGGCCCGACGGCCGTGTCGCCGTTGAATCAAATACGACGCGCCGCGAGACGTCTCTCCGGGACGTGCCGTCGCGGTTAGCGCGCCACGCCCGTTAATCATCATATTTTCCTCTCGGAATAATACACGTTCGCGCCACGGCAAGCCCCCTCGCGCGACAACGTTATTTGCATTCGAAATGTCGAATCGCACTACGCGCGCGTCCCGACGCCGGTTTCCGTTAATCGGCGCAATTAGCGCTCTCTCGCTCTAATACTGTCCCGTAACACCGTCGACGGCGTTTCCCGACGGGGCTTTGCCCGAGCAAACTGCGCGGGCGGCAGCCTAATGGCACACGCGCGCGCCGCCGCCGCCGCCGCTAATCATCCCGCACGCTCTCTTAATTAATCATCACTTCATCAGACGCGTTTGCCGTGGAAAAAAAAACAAACGCGCGCGCGCGCAATAACGTTATTGCGTGTATTAGCGTTTACGGCGTGTTTTAACTATAAGCCCCGCGTAATTGTGTTGTTTTTATCGACGACCGCGGCGCCGCGTCTCGTAAACGCGCCGTCGACATTCGAAAACAATACGGTTCCGGACCGACCGACCGTCCCGGGTTTTCAGTCGCGGGTCCGCGGATTCGCCGGAACGTCTCGAACGGAACGTACGCGTTCAATCAGCCCCTGAACGGGATTAAACATTCGTAAAGTCCCGCCTCCGTAACGCCATTATCGAGTCGTACGTAAGTATTCACACGTAACATATTACCGACCGGTTTCGTCTTCTCGCGTTCAGCGACGAAATGTATCGTCAACGTGATTTCGATACCGAGAACGATATCGAGCTTTTAACGACCACGCTGTTTATATCGTTTTACCGTGTTGCATTCGGTAAGGAGCGGGCCCGTTCCGGTTACTCGTGTGGCGAGGTTGCCGCGGCCACTGGCTTTAGAGGGCGTAAAAAACCAGTTGCGCGATTACAGACGACGGAGGCGAGAAAGTATCCGTTTTCCAATCTCCTCCCGCAGAGTCGCTCGACTTCTATAATTTCAACTGGTAAACGCAGAAACGAATGAACAATGTTCTATTGTAATTTCATTACGATCGTTCACTTCTATAAATAATTGTACGCGTATATTTAGTTTTTTTAAAATAAAAACGAAGAAACCCGGAACGGTTACGCGTGTGCATGCAGTGCCCGGTTCATTGCACCAGGGCCCCTAGCTCCAAGTCCTTGTAACCAATAACCAAATATCTCGGTATACGTGGGTAGGTCTCGAATGATACACGCGCCAATTAATAGATATTATACAAACGGTATTACGTGTGTGCACGGGCAACCTCCGGCCAGCATCCGGGACCGGTGGTACACTGACTGGACCGCAGCTCGCTCGTTGACGGGCCTGCGATAATATCCGTTATAGGACGATTTGATATTTTGATAATCGTCGTGCTATCGAAAAACTCACATCGGCATAGCCGGGGCCGCGGACGCCGCCGCCGGCCGGACAAACGTGCAAAACGCACTTCCGTACCCCGCGATAGAAAGTAAAATACAAACCGACGGAATATTATAGTCTCCCGTATCAGCGTACTGGGGCGTGACGACGTGGCCGCGGGACGTGCAAAAATGAAAACTGCAACGGCGTAAAATACCAAGCTAAAAAATATGTGGAAAATGAAAAACTATGTTGTTGCCATCGGTTGGAAAAACTACAGAATGTGGGAATTTACGAAATGTATTATTTTTAAATCGTAAGTTTGACGGTCATTTAATACAGTAGAACTTCCACATAACGGTCGCCGACGGGACCCGAAATAATGACCGCCGTTTAGGGGTGACCGTCCTTGAGAGGTTTTCTACAGAGACATAACACTCGAAGAACCAAACAAATGACCGTTACACAGAGGTGACCGGATTTTAGATGTAATCGTTACAGAAAGTTTTACTGTACGTGTATAACCGGACTGCGCACAGAATCGTTATTCGTTATCAAAGATTAGTCGTTGCGTACAGATATACATTGAATTTCCCATTTAAACATCTCATCTACAACGGTTGCCCACCCACCGTGCGAATTATGTCCGTATATTTTTTTTGAAGTATACCGCGGTTAGATTAAATATCAATGAAAAATAATAGGTCCACAAATTAAATTTCCACCGGGGCCCGTTGAACTCTGGCTACAGCACTGTGTGTATGTACGTTCCTGAAGTCGATAACTGGAGCAACATCGGAAAACGGTCCTGGTGGATGATCCGGCATATTTCCGTGTTATGATAGAATTCGTTTTCGCCAATGAGAATAATTATAGTGGACAATAATAAATTAAGCGCGTCACCGGAAAAGTTTACAGTCGCAGTAGCCCGAAATCCCCCATACAAACGGCTGCAGCGCGACGGTAATGGAATAAAAACAAAGTCTCTAATTATAATTATTACATAGGTATAACCGGCGAATTTCATAACACATTTTGGTGTTTATATATAAAACAAAGTCGTGGAATGGATGCAGTTCTGCTTTCGAAGTGTATTTCATAATAATAATAATAATAATAATAATAATTTTATGATCGAATTAGACGGAACCGAATATCGTGGACGGTTGTTGGTTAACATCACTAAAGTGTTAACATTACACGTTTATTGAATACAAATTAGAGTGTTGTTTTGGAATCCATTCCTAGATTCCATTATACGTATGTATTAGGCTATGGCATAAATATTATAACGTTAAAAGGGTTTCGGGTTTCGGAATATCAAATCATTTATGAAAGTACAATACCATGTACTTTAATAATATATTTACCATCACTATTAATATATCGTTATGAAAATAAACCGATTATAGGACTGTATAATTCTGTATCAGCATCTACCTAGAAACGAAGATTTAAAAGAACTTGTTGTGTACGCCGAGTTAGAACAGCAAGAGTTAGTTAAACATTGTTCTGCTAGGTCAGACGGACAAATGTTAGGAATTGATGTTTTCTCAATTTGATATACCACATCCTGAAATAGTTCCTGTTCTGATTTCTTGGGCTTGATAAAAAAAAATTATATATTGCTTTTAACGTGCCAAAAGATCTCGGGAAACTAGGGAAAAAAAAAAAAAAAAAAAAAACGTACATTTATAATTAATATTACCTGATGCCTATTTTTGCACTATTTTGCTCATTCTAAATCATTTTATTACTTATTTACATAATTATATTGTATTACACAATAAGTTCTGAATAAGGCATAGAAATGTATGTTTTAAAAATATGTTTATTTTTAATTTTTTATCCGTGTGCGGCTTTTCTACCAGTAGACTTGCTCAGATTTTTATGTGTAGCATTTTTTCTGACAGGAAATCAGTGTGGGGAGGTTATTTTTCGATTTTCTCAGGAGTTTTCTCATCAAAATTCAAAAACCGAAAAAAAAAACAGAGGAAAAACGGAAAAATATAAGTAATGTAGGTATTAGTTAAAATGTATTACGGCCTTCTTTTTTCCTACGAATAACTTTTCTACCAGCAATTTCGCTCCAATTTATAATGATAGCATTTTTTCTGAAAAGAAATTTAACTGGGAGAGTACTTTAGGGAAGTCATTTTTCGATGATTTCAAGAGTTTTTCCAGTAAATATGAAAAACCAAGGAAAAACATTGGTAAATGGTATCCATTTTAATTTTAGAATTGGAATAATTGATTTTTTACCATAATATAACATATATATTGTTAAAATAGCAGCGTTATTATCTGAACTCCGTTCAGAATCGTTTTTTTCGTTATCAATGGTTTATCGTCGCTAACAGATATACATTAAATTACCTATAACAGTGTCTGCATCCGTCTCGATTATTCTAGGACGTCTTTTGCTTATTAATGAATTATAAAGTACAAAATGATAAAATATTTAGTCCACTCTATAAAAAATTGTATGGGTTTTTTTGGAGATCCTAAAACCCCCTAGCTTTCCTCTAGTTCGCCAACGGAGTAGATAGATTTCTAGAGACGTTATATGTGAATTTGTTTTTTTTAAATATGACATATTAACGAAATGAATACCAAATAAATAATAATTATAAATATCAAATATGTAACGATAATAAGACGTGATTTTAATACTCAATACCTATTCGAAATTAAATAATAAATATTAATGTTCTAATTTTTTTCTTACAGCTAGGTATACAGGATTATCGAGTTTTAAATGTTTGATTCGTATCGTCCATTTTTAATTTTGCGCAGTCTCGCAAAATTTGTCCCGGTGTTATTATTTAGTATTAATAATCGTATTAGTAAAGCGTATTAGTAAATCAGTATTGACTAACTACTTACATTCTATTTTCCCTTCGATCGAAGACAGTAAAGTAATGGCTTGGGCATTATGGTGACACGTTTATCCGGACATTACAATTATTTTCGGCCATTGCAGTTTTAAAACTACAGCAGATACTCAAAACACATGCGTACAATCGGGCGACGACGACAACGGCAACGTCAGCGGCCTAATGGAAGTGCCGTTGTTTTTCAGACCCTTTTACGGACGAATTAGATCGCAAATGTATACTGTAGTAACACGTCAATTCAATAATGCGACAATAATTCGCACTGAACTGACATATCGCGAATAATATTATAGTATTATCTGACCGGTCGGACAGTGTGTTTTGCATAAAATGTCCGCGATTTCGGCCCCATCTCCTCTGTCTTGATGGCGAATCCATTACGGTACCTTATACACAATTCTGTTTGAGTGATGTGTCTCCGTTTAAATAACACGTCATGCAATTGTGCGCTGACAGTATACAACAAGGCCGCAGTTATTCAAAATGTACGATTTTTACGTTTTTGCTATTAGACAGGTTATTTTCGTAATTATTATTCCCAATTTATGTCTATTATGCGTAGTATATCCGGTCAATAGTATAAATACTTCCTAACTATGTGGAAATTGTAATATCAGGAAATTTTAGGCGACGGTATATCATACCAGAATTAAAGCAAATACTATTCTGGGCAGATGTTAGCGTTGAAACCGTCCATACAAATCAAAGTATTCCGTTCCTAAAATTAAAAATCAAAAACGTTTGCACCGAAATGTATTTAAAGTAATATTCCATCTGTTTATGGAACTTTCAATAAAGGTTCTCGTTTAAAAACCCAAAATTGGTATCGCCACAGGATACTCTTTAAATGTTATGAAAAATCGAAGTATTCGAGGATATCGGCTTTAGCGGCTTTAACTACACTTGAAAATTCAAAAAACCAGAATTTGAATATATTAAAAAAGTTTAACCGAAAAAATTGGGTGAGTACGCTTAGTAAATCAACCTGTATACATTATATACATACACGGCACAGGTGAATAGTTTGAATACACATTAAGAAAAAACAAGTGTTTTAGTTAATTTATTTATTGCACAAAATCGACTTACTCTACTCACACTTATTATATTATCTAATGATCTAAATCGATAAATATGGCGATAACAATAAATATTTCGATTATCAATCGATTGCCACATTATAATTCGTTGATAGTAGTTGTATTATTGAGCAATTTAGCAAGTGTTTGGTCGATGTATTGATGAAAAATCGATTCCGGATAGTAAAAAATAGCGATACGGAATGAACTGTTTGTAGAAAAACGAGTTCAGATCATTATTTGGCGATAATACGGTCGTTTATATGTGGACATCGCTGAAATATTAAACGTTTCTTTGGGTACAGTTCAAAAGCGCGCGATCGATTAATGAACAAATAAACGAAAAAATATTTTTTCTATAGGTATATATTCAAACTTCGGGCCTGTACTGTATGTATATATTTTTTTTTTACCTGACAAAATACATTCTCAACAAAATATAGCTCTTCTAACGATTTAATTTGTACAAAAACAATTTTAGCAATTAACAAATAAAAATCTATTATACAATTTTTACTTAAATTTAACGTTTGACGAAAAGTCGGAAGACCAATATAATTAAATGTGCAAATAAAATGCCCTCTTGGCGAATTCCTGGATCCGCCCATTATATTATATTATATATATATATAGGTCTATTCGTATACGTTGTACAGAGTGT